CTTACAGCCAACGGCGCATGTCACTTAATGTGGACCACACCATTCATCAATTATGGCGAGCTCAGGGCCCGGCCGGCTCCACCAGCACTGAGCTGTCTTGTGTTCTGCCTGCAGCCCGTCTGCTGCAGGAGGTGTCACACCAGCACAGCTTCTTTCATGCCGTGTTATCTCACCGCAACTCCAAAAAGAAAAAAAAGAAAAGCCCCTCATCCTCTGTGAGTCTGGCCTCCTGCAGCATAACGGCTCACTTCAAGCCCGTCCTGGTATAATTGTCATACATGCTCGCCCCCCCTCCGGTTCTGAAGCGTCCCACAGTAGGCCGATCCGCACGCCTGTAAGACAAACACCAGTCCGTGACCTCACCGTCCTGCTCGCTGCTCGTCTGCCCCTCGGCAGGCGAAACCGGAGTCGAATTGGAACTCATTTGCCGCCATCCGACTCTGACGTGCCGCCATGGGGTACTCGTTAGGGCCGAATGCCTCTCTGGTATCCCAGTGACAGAACGTATGTTAAGGTTGTACGAGTGAAAACAAATGACAGAAATGTGGCGACCATATTTGGGATTCTCTTTAAAGCGGGGGACGAGGGCGTACAAACCTGAACCAGACCACACAGCGGCAGCCAAGCCTCCTCCTCGGTTCTTCTTCTTCTCCTCTGTCCTCAGGAGGACGTCCTCGGTCACATCTGGACCGGGCTTTGGGGTCAGGACGAAGGGTGGCCGGTCCACTGGGCTCACCTCCACTCCGGTCCTTCCCCTCCATTCCCCTTCAGCTGCTGGTTGCATGTGTGTGTTTGTGTGTCCGTGAGAGCGCTAACCTCAGCAGCTGTGTGTGATTTGGTATTCATGTTGTCTGGGGGCTTCTTTCCTGTTGTACTTCTGCTCTTCCTGCCCGTCCTGACACCTTGTTCTGAGCAGAGGAGGCAGATTATGGACGAGAGCTGCTTCATGTCAGCTTGTAGCTCCGACATGAGGTTTCATTTCATCTGTGACACGGCGGATAAAACGCAGACGCCTTCTCCTGAAAGAGACAAGATGCATTTATTCCTATTTGTTTTTAGGAACAAATGAGGATGTTTTAAATTCATGCATTCCTCTCAATTCATTATCGACTTCATGTAGAGATAATGAAGGCCTCTGTGTAGAAACTCATTTGCGTCGTGAGTGAGGCGTGAGACTATGGCGGCGAGGCGGATGCAACAGCTGAGAATGATAAATGGCGGCAAATAAATAAATAAATCCGGCTAACGGCGACGCGTAAATGAGCGGAAAGGATCGTTTTTTTTGAAGCGGTGGACTAAAAATAACGCTTCTCGCTCAGATTTTACATTTAAGTAAAACCGACGAGTGCAGAAATCCTGTTTTGTGCATTAAAAGTTTTTTACTTGTGTAAAAGTTCAGAGCTGTAATTATCACAATAAGATAGTAAAAGTTAAAGTCTTCAGTGTGCAGATAAATATCTGTTATTTTACTGGATTATTATAATTATTGATGCAGTGACTTTATTTACGGCTGCATAGTTTGTTAATGTCCTCCTGCATGAATATCAATAAAGTTTTGTTTTAATCTAATAATACGGCGTCACAACAAAACATCAGAATATATTTGCTGATTGTATTTTGCGTTGCTAATCTTTGTACGCTAAATAAGTTGTGTAATATTTGCCTTAAGTTAGAAGAATGAAGGAGTAAAATAAAATAAATAAATGAGCATCTTAAAATTTAACTTAAGCTCAGTATTTGAGGACTTTTAAACACAGATGCAAACTTAATTTAAAAAATACTATAAACCACGTATTAAAAATATAACATGCAGTTTATAATCCATGTAGTTTTGGACCATGATGGTGGCGTTTGGGCTGCACACCTGGAAAAAATAAAAACCAACATTGCATTCAGTTTTTCAGCTCACATGTCAAAATTAATGTACAACACATTTGAACATTTAAAAAAAGTTTTTTGCAGCACATTGACTGTATAAATGTCCAATGTTTGGTACTTTTATTCCCATTTTCTTCTACTTTTTACAGCTCAGAAGCAAACATTAAATTAGAAAACTTTAGTAATGAGCTTCTTCAGGTTTAAATTAGTAAAACAAAATCAACAAATAAATCAGGATGGATGATTATTAGATAAACTGGACTGGTTCCCCTGCAGGAGGACATTTACAAACTACTAAATAAAGTCATAAATCAACTTTACTGCAACATTAAAGTGACGAACACATGAATAATTATAATAAATGTGACTCTAAAATGGGCCAATCTGCATAATGAGGGCCTTTATTTAGCTTTTAATTCTGATGCAAACACTTTTGCACTTTTACTTCATAGAGTTTTGAGTTACTTTTACTCCAGATCTAAATACTTCTCTCCCGACTGCATTCTTTGCACGATATAATAATTAAAAGCTTTCTTTCCTGGTTCGGTTCGAGCCTCAGGAACAGACAGAAGCAACAGATCCTGGGACCACGAGGAGCTTTTGTACAAATAAAAACCTGCAAACAACGAGGAAGCCTAAAATGCATTTATAAATTAAAATGTGCCAGTGTCAGACTTAAAACTGGTGAAAAACCTTAAAGCACTGTGACACACTGACTCTAAAACACTCTGGCTTTAATAATAATACAAACAGAACTTAAAATAGGAATAAAACGAAGCTTCTATCGGACTCCTCTGACTCTCTCTGGCCGGTCTCTGGACTCCAGCAGCCGGACGGGCCGAGCGCTGCTCGGTAAACAATCGCAGCCACACACTAGGAAGGAACATGAAAACAGCACTAATGGGAAAAAGATGAGAGGGCTCGCAGCGAGCACACCCAGAGAGAGGAGAGAGGAGGAGAGAGGAGGAGAGAGGAGGCCGTCGGACAACACTGCCGCCGCTGCTGCTGGCACAGCAACAGGCTGGATCGCAGCTTCCTGAGGTCACGCTGCTGCTAACAGAGTCCACCAGAGTCAGACCCAGTGTTCAGTTCAAGTCCTGCAGGTTCCTCCTCACGACACACAGTTTAGCTGCTTTTATTATTAAATAAAATGTCACATATTTTATTTAGAATTTCTTACATCTAGATATTTATTCTTGTCTTGTCTTGTTGTTGTTGTTGTTGTTGTTGTTGTTGATGTTGTTGTTGTTGTTGTGAACCAGCTTCTGATTTTTAAACATATATTCAAGGCAACACATCATATTTTTCTCACTGTTCATTTTGCACATAAATTCCCCACAATTACTACAAGAAGTCCTGCTCACATGTTTGATTTAAAATATCATAATTTGTCCAGGGTTTTCTGATCATGTGTGTCATCTTGTTTGCTTCCCTCTGGCTGCCCACCTCCTCCAAATCCAACAACACTTCAGAGCCGGTGAGTTAACGACGGCTCACACGTTTGTTCATCCACAAATCAAACCCTTCTATCTATCTGTAGTGAGGAGGCTCATCTTCATGGATACGACTCATATCTTCCCTGTAGAAATAAATTCCCCCTCCAAAAAAAATCATTAAAAAAATAAAAAATTCTCATTAATTTCTCCCCACAAGTTGCCAACTCTATCACTGCTCTCTCTCTCTTGTATCCGTGATGTGTATCCGCTAAGACTGAATAATATTTGGACAGGTGTTCCTTCATATACATTAACTTCAAGGAGGCCAGTGTGCCGTTTCACTGCACTTTCATAAGAAGAAGAAGAAAAGAGCGAGCAGGCGGTTGGATTGTGAAGCCGGTGCTGTATACTGTACTCAATACTATATGTGTAATCCCTGACAATAAAAAACTGTTTAGCACCAATTTTCCTTTACTTTTAAAACCTTCTTTTTTTTTTCCTGTTTCAGACAAGAGGAGGCCACATCTGGAGGACAGATGTAGTCCCACCAGAGCTGGTTCTCCGCCTTTGACTCTCTCTCTCTCTCTCTCTCTCACTCTCTCTTTCTCGTGTCCTCCCCTCCCTCCCCTCTTTTTGGGAAACATGAGAGCTGGGCTAATTCTCTCTCTCTCTCGCTCTCTCTCTCCCAGCCCGGCCCGGACCACCCACATTCGGAAACGCCTAGCTGTTCCTGAGGCAGAGCCGCCGGCAGCTTAGAGAGAGAGACGAGAGGCAGAGAGAGATGTAAGGATGGGTTGTGACGGCCCGTTTTAGCAGAGTATCAATTACATCAATGTCAGAGCTGGAAGCTGCCATTGTGTGAGCAGTCTGGGTCCCGGCTCGCACCACAGCTAACTTTATCCACTCGCTTTATTCTGCTGCGTAATTGGTGTTGTTTACCCCGAAAAAATCTCACAAAACACAAGCTTAATGTCGGCCTTTAATTACACTAAAGTGTCCAGAACTTGTTGTCCCTCGAGTGAATGAGTTCAGATTCAAAGATCTAAAGGAAAAAAAAACGACAGTGAAATACACTTAAAACAGCAGCTTTTATTTGCTCAGTAAGCAGTAAATATTTATCTCTCAGTTCACCTCCAAGCTTTAAATCTCTCCGATGTGAAGATCAATGTCTCCACCTTGTGGATTTCTTTGGTATTGCCTCCTATCGAAAGTGTTTCAACCATTTACTGAAGCCCTTTTTTCTATCCATCCATCATCTATACATCACTTAGTCCTCACTACGGGGTGCTGGAGTCTATCCCAGCTGACTCAGGGTGAAGGCAGGTTCACCTGGACAGGTAACCAGTCTATCACAGGGCTACACTTAGAGACAGACAACCAAGCACACTCACATTCACACCTACGGACAATTTAGAATCACCAATTAACCTCAGCATGTTTCTGGACTGTGGGAGGAAGCCGGAGAACCTGGAGAACCCGGAGAGAACCCACGCTGCACGGGGAGAACATGGAGACTCCACGCAGAAAGATCCCGGGTGTCCTCACCGGGACACGAACTGGCAACCTTCTAGCTGCGAGGCGACCGTGCTTAGAGATCCCTAACCTGGTTTCTAGATTATGACATTTGAATGTTGGATATCCCCACTTGCTCATTAGATTTTTGGTTAAAGCAGCTGTACGTCTTTATCACAACTATTAGTGAAATAATGTGAATAACTGGAATGTTTTTGGTGATGGTGATGGAACCCAGTCCTGAACTTCAGCTCAGCCTCACAGAGCTTTAGCATCTTTAAACTCAATATTTTGCTTCTTTACCATTTTCATTCACTCTCACGGCTCTCATAAGTCGTTTTTTAGCCATAGGGCAGAAAAAAGCTTCCAGAAAAAAACTGTACGGGGGCAATCCGTGTGACGTCTAAATAACCAACTGTTGCACCCTAAGTGGTAAAAAACAATCAACTGTTGCAGGTTTAGATTAAATTAGACATAACTTTATTGATCCCTTTGGTAGGGTACCTCAGGGAAATTATTGAATTGTTGTTAAAGTTTTCTTTTCTAAGGTTTTGTCAGTTGTCTGTAATGGAATTTTCTGTTTGCTGAGAAAGTTAGAACGAACACCAACTGTCCTGCTTGTACGAGGGTTAAGCAATGGCTAGAGGAGTTAATACTGCTGCTCTCTGAGTGTCCGAACTACCTCAATATTATTATGAAAACTAATACTTGGAGGAGCACTTTGTTACCGTGACACCTCACGTCCATCGATATTCTCTGTCGTAGCGACTGAAGCGTCTCGGCTAAAAACAAGGCCTCCAGTAAACACTCAAACGCTCCCAGATGGATGTTTTCAGATGTTTTCAGCTGGAAAATAAAGAAAGAAAAACACTTTGGGTGGACGCACTGCCTTATGTCTGCAGACTGAATGTAGTGGAAGAAGATCTGAGTCAAACTCAGTCGAGCCGTCAAGACGAGGATGACACACAGCAGCCGAAATAGGTTTTCAAATGTGGAAAAGTTCGTCCTATTGAGGGGATTATTAAGGATCCAACACACTTATAATTCATTCATCACTTTAAAGCTTAAATACAAAGTGTAATCCAGTGTAGAAATCGAGTAGTGAAGCACAGTGATCAGGATAAACTTGAGGCTGAGGGCTGCTGAGGCCACAGCGACACCCTGCTCTGCTCAAATACTGTGAACTCTTGCATGATATATGATCTCTCATTTGGTTTTCTGTGTTTTTCTTCTCCCCACCTCGGTAGCTACAGACCCCACCGTGGCCCCCACCATGCCTCCGAACGGCCCCCCCACAAACAGGCCTACCAGGGCCCCCAGCAGGGCCTCCCTTCTCACGAAGGTGGGCCATCTAATCCAGCCGGTCAGCTTCTCCCACAAGCCCCAGAGGAAGGACGGGGCAGGGGAGGAAGGAGAGACGCTGGCCGAGGGGAAAACACCGTCCACATCCACGTCCAGGTCGCCCACGCTCCTCTCCGCCTCCTCACGAACTGCCTCCATTTCTTCCTCCGTCAGGTTTTCCTCCGAGTCGCCGGGTTGCCCTCCTCTCCTCTGCCTCGCCAGCTCCTCCTGCCTCCTCCTCACCCTCTCCTCGGCCTCCTGGTACAGAGGGCAGCTGAAGCTCCCGCTCTCTTGGGCCACTTGCTCCACCTTCTCCAGAAGCTCCTCCACCGCCTTCCCCTCCTCCGGGCCTCCCCCGCGGCCCTCCAGGGTGTGGTAGCGGTCGCCGCATCTCTCCACCAGCTCCAGCAGGTCCTTGCGCCACGTGACGAGGTACTCCTCCAGCTTCTCGTCCTCCTCCAGCTCCTCGGTGTGGGTGAAGAGGACGACGGTGTGGCCGCTGACGGCGGAGGGCCCGAGCAGCTCCGTCAGGACGTCCAGCGCCTTGGCCTCTCCGTCGGCCGGCTGGTTGACGGGGACGCACAGCAGGAAGGCGTGAGGCGAGGGGCTGGATAAGGAGATGAAGGAGGAGATGAGCTTCCTTCTGTCCTCTGGGCTGCAGTCTGAGCTGAACCAGGCTGGACTGGACACGATCACCACCTCCAGAGAGAAAGAGAGAGGCGGCAAATATGAGGATTAAACAGTCACAGTAGAAAATAAACTGGCTTTATGTGAAGTTTTTAGCCCTGATATTGTAATCACTGCCTGACTTGGGTACCAGAGGTTTTATTTTTTTCATTTATGAGACGTTATTTGTGCGTTTCTGAAGTTAGAATCCTTAAGATGTTCCAGGATGACATGTATTCATCTATAACCGAGTATCACTGTTAAAGGATGCCAGGGTCTCGCCCCAAATTACGTTTCTGATCTGTTGACCCCCTTTGATCCTCAGGTGGTTCCCTTCTGGTCGTTCCTTAGGCTTAAGGGGCCTGAGGAGATGAGGCTTGCTTTTATGTGAAGTTTACTTTAAGCTTTAATTAGTTTTTGTGTTTTATTCTGTTTTTATCTACCTGTTCATTTTATATGTTCTCTTTTGTTTGTATTTCTTAATTTTTAGCTGCGTAGTTCTTTGGTGTGTTGTTTTTAATTCTTAAGACTTCCTCGACAGTCTCTGCATTGCATGTTTTCACTGTGGAAGCAGCTCGTGAACGCTCTCCTTAAAGGTGTTATATCAATAAAGTTATTATATTATTATTGTCAAAACTGTCAAAAGGTGCAATATACAAGATTTTGAGTATAAATGCGCTATGGTAAAGATAAAGCGGACAAAGAACGTCCTTAGCAGGGAATTACATCACAGGCTGTTTGTGTGTGTTGTAATTAGAGCTTCAGTAGCCGATCCAACCCTGTGTATATGTTAGTATATGTCACGCATTTTGTGTTTTGGCCTGAAAAAAAAAGTCATACTATAGCATGTCGTTTTTCGCAAAAAAGGTCACGTCTCAGAATTTCGTGAAAACGTGTCAGGATGTAGTATATAGTGCAAATAGTGTAATGCATGTGGTAGAAAACACCTTATTCGTTCAACACCAACAATTCACCTCTGTGTATCAAAATCATACATTTAGAATGGT